ATGAGAGTATAAATGATGAAAGGGATGCAAATCATAACAGCAACATTCAGAAAGTAATAAAACAAAAGAATGTTATGTCTAGATCAGTCAAGATGGGTAAACGACAGTTTCCCTGGATTGAGCTGAACCACAATCAATCAACCACATGAAGGTGCTTTGTTCTGATTATCAGATATTTCCTGTTATTGCTAATAAGTATGCTTTGACTAAGGAAGACATATGATCTAATGTATTCCAATTTTTGTTGTAATGTATTCCAATTTTTGTTGTAATGTATTTCAATCTTTGATGTATTCCAATCTATGTTCTAATGTATGTTCTAGTGTATTCTAATCTTTGTTCTAATGATTGCTAATAAGTATGCTTTGACTAAGGAAGAAATATGATCTAATGTATTCCAATTTTTGTTGTAATGTATTTCAATCTTTGATGTATTCCAATCTATGTTCTAATGTATGTTCCAATGTATTCCAATCTATGTTCTAATGTATGCTCTAATGTATTCTAATCTTTGTTCTAATGTAGTCCAATCTTTGTTCTAATGTATTCCAATCTTTGTTCTAATGAATCTTTGTTGTATTCCAATCTATGTTCCAATGTATGTTCTAATGTATTCCAATCTAAGTTCTAATGTATTCCAATCTTTGATGTATTCCAATCTATGTTCTAATGTATTCTAATCTTTGTTCTAATGCATTCCAATCTTTGTTCTAATGTATTCCAATCTATGTTCTCATGTATTCGAATCTTTGTTGTATTCCAATCTATGTTCTAGTGTATGTTCTAATGTATTCCAATCTATGTACTAATGTATTCCAATCTTTGATGTATTCCAATCTATGTTCTAATGTATGCTCTAATGTATTCTAATCTTTGTTCTAATGCATTCCAATCTTTGTTCTAATGTATTCCAATCTATGTTCTCATGTATTCAAATCTTTGCTGTATTCCAATCTATGTTCTAATGTATGTTCCAATGTATTCCAATCTATGTTCTAATGTATTCTAATCTTTGTTCTAATGCATTCCAATCTTTGTTCTAATGTATTCCAATCTTTGTTCTAATGAATCTTTGTTGTATTCCAATCTATGTTCCAATGTATGTTCTAATGTATTCCAATCTATGTTCTCATGTATTCGAATCTTTGTTGTATTCCAATCTATGTTCTCATGTATTCAAATCTTTGTTTTATTCCAATCTATGTTCTAATGTATGTTCTAATGTAGTCCAATCTATGTTCTAATGTATGTTCTTATGTATTCCAATCTATGTTCTAATGTATTCAAATCTCTGTTGTATTCCAATCTATGTTCTAATGTATGTTCCAATGTATTCCAATCTATGTTCTAATGTATTCCAATCTATGTACTAATGTATTCCAATCTTTGATGTATTCCAATCTATGTTCTAATGTATTCTAATCTTTGTTCTAATGTATGTTCTAATGTATTCCAATCTTTGCTCTAATGTATTCTAATCTTTGTTCTAATGCATTCCAATCTTTGTTCTAATGTATTCCAATCTTTGGTCTAATGTATTCTAATCTATGTTCTAATGTATTTTCTAATGTATTCCAATCTATGTTCTAACGTATGTTCTAATGTATTCTAATCTTTGTTCTAATGTATGTTCTAATGTATTCCAATCTATGTACTAATGTATTCCAATCTTTGATGTATTCCAATCTATGTTCTAATGTATTCTAACCTTTGATGTATTCCAATCTATGTTCTAATGTATTCCAATCTTTGATGTATTCCAATCTATGTTCTAATGTATTCAAATCTTTGTTCTAATGTATTCTAATCTTTGTTCTAATGCATTCCAATCTTTGTTCTAATGTATTCCAATCTATGTTCTCATGTATTCGAATCTTTGTTGTATTCCAATCTATGTTCCAATGTATGTTCTAATGTATTCCAATCTGTGTTCTAATGTATGTTCTAATGTATTCCAATCTGTGTTCTAATGTATGTTCTAATGTATTCTAATCTATGTACTAATGTATTCCAATCTTTGTTCTAATGTATTCCAATCTTTGTTCTAATGTATTCTAATCTTTGATGTATTCCAATCTATGTTCTAATGTATTCTAACCTTTGATGTATTCCAATCTATGTTCTAATGTATTCCAATCTATGTACTAATGTATTCCAATCTTTGATGTATTCCAATCTATGTTCTAATGTATTCCAATCTATGTACTAATGTATTCCAATCTTTGATGTATTCCAATCTATGTTCTAATGTATTCCAATCTATGTACTAATGTATTCCAATCTTTGTTCTAATGTATTCCAATCTATGTTCTCATGTATTCAAATCTTCGTTGTATTCCAATCTATGTTCTAATGTATGCTCTAATGTATTCTAATCTTTGTTCTAATGCATTCCAATCTTTGTTCTAATGTATTCCAATCTTTGGTTTAATGTATTCTAGTCTATGTTCTAATGTATTCTAATCTTTGTTCTAATGCATTCCAATCTTTGTTCTAATGTATTCCAATCTATGTTCTAATGTATGCTCTAATGTATTCTAATCTTTGTTCTAATGCATTCCAATCTTTGTTCTAATGTATTCCAATCTTTGTTCCAATGTATGTTCTAATGTATGTTCTAACGTATTCTAATCTATGTTCTAATGTATTCCAATCTATGTTCTAATGTATTCTAATCTTTGTTCTAATGTAGTCCAATCTTTGTTCTAATGTATTCCAATCTATGTTCTCATGTATTCGAATCTTTGTTGTATTCCAATCTATGTTCCAATGTATGTTCTAATGTATTCCAATCTTTGTTCTAATGTATTCTAATCTTTGTTCTAATGCATTCCAATCTTTGTTCTAATGTATTCCAATCTTTGGTCTAATGTATTCTAATCTATGTTCTAATGTATGTTCTAATGTATTCTAATCGTTGTTCTAATGTATTCCAATCTATGTTCTCATGTATTCGAATCTTTGTTGTATTCCAATCTATGTTCCAATGTATGTTCTAATGTATTCCAATCTGTGTTCTAATGTATGTTCTAATGTATTCCAATCTTTGTTCCAATGTATGTTCTAATGTATGTTCTAATGTATTCTAATCTATGTTCTAATGTATTCCAATCTTTGTTCTAATGTATTCCAATCTTTGGTTTAATGTATTCTAATCTATGTTCTAATGTATTCTAATCTTTGTTCTAATGTATTCCAATCTTTGTTTTAATGTATTCTAATCTTTGTTCTAATGTATTCTAATCTTTGTTCTAATGTATTCTAATCTTTGTTCTAATGTATTCCAATCTTTGTTCTAATGTATTCTAATCTTTGTTCTAATGTATTCTAATCTTTGTTCTAATGTATTCCAATCTTTGTTCTAATGTATTCTAATCTTTGTTCTAATGTATTCTAATCTTTGTTCTAATGTATTCCAATCTTTGTTCTAATGTATTCTAATCTTTGTTCTAATGTATTCTAATCTTTGTTCTAATGTATTCCAATCTTTGTTCTAATGTATTCTAATCTTTGTTCTAATGTATTCTAATCTTTGTTCTAATGTATTCCAATCTTTGTTCTAATGTATTCTAATCTTTGTTCTAATGTATTCTAATCTTTGTTCTAATGTATTCCAATCTTTGTTCTAATGTATTCTAATCTTTGTTCTAATGTATTCCAATCTTTGTTCTAATGTATTCTAATCTTTGTTCTAATGTATTCCAATCTTTGTTCTAATGTATTCTAATCTTTGTTCTAATGTATTCCAATCTTTGTTCTAATGTATTCTAATCTTTGTTCTAATGTATTCCAATCTTTGTTCTAATGTATTCTAATCTTTGTTCTAATGTATTCCAATCTTTGTTCTAATGTATTCCAATCTTTGTTTTTATGTATTCTAATCTTTGTTCTAATGTATTCTAATCTTTGTTCTAATGTATTCCGATCTTGATCTTAACAATGACTATGACTTTTCAAACCATCGACCCTACCAAATTTCAACTTGTAAGCTGAAACACCCAATCTTTGGTCTAATAAGAATATTAATAGTCATGTGGATTTACATTAATTACTTATTAATTTCAATTAAAAAATAAGGAAAATAACTCTAACACAGATCACAGATTCAATATGTATTTTGCAGCAGTTTAACCTTAACTCTTTGGTAAAATAACTTCAATATTTACTTAATGGAAAATCAAAAGAACTTTCTTAAGGCCAACAAGTTTGAAACCCCCTGGAATGTACTCTGGACCGTTAGTGTTTATAAGATATAACTAATGCTCTTCCTCAACCCAGACAGCAATTTGTAACTCCACGTCAGACACTTAGGTCTACAGCTCTCACTCCCATCATCATTAAATTTCAAGAGTGAGTAACTGTCTGGAATCTAGATTTATCCAATCCCAGCTTGCAAGATTCTATTATGTTCAAATACTTGACATTTATTACAAAATCAGAAAAAAAGGGAAGTAACTTGTTTTATCATCAAAGGGAGGACATTAGAGCCTATCAGCAATCATTCAGGAAAGACACAAGTGGTAACTTCCCACAGTAATGTTAAGTGATTGTGTACTCACATGTACAATACTGTATGACTGCTAATTTTACTAAGTTTGTAAATGCATTAAAATTTGCAAAATTGTATAGGAATGACATACAAATCATATGCCTACTAATAACGTGATCTATTTTTAACCTGGTGTGATGAAACAGTATCCTGACCAGAGACCACATATACACATTTTTAACATTCAAGCAACCCAAATTATAAAGTAAACAACCAAAATATTTAAAGTCAAGGATGGGTATAATTATTTCATCAACATGTGTCCCCTTAAATTCTCTCCCACACAATTAAAATCATAAAGTCTATCCGTATTATCTTATCTAAAACTTTAACCATTGCTTTACTGTCCTGTTGATCCACTGGGAGACAACCTCTTTAGTAAAGGGGAGATAACCTGCACAGAAATTAAAGTAAAAGGAGATGATAATGATAGAAAGGGCAGATAACCTACCTCATCTGTATCAAGATCCTCTCTGCTTGCCTGCCCTACAGCATGCATGATCCTTGCCCGCACAGTTGGATTATCTATGTGGTAGGTTTCCTGTAGTTCACCATCCGTCAGGTGTCTGTGAAAACAAGAATAAACACATCATGTACAAGTCTGCTGTACAACCTCAAACACTTATGCTGGGCTATAGCCATTGTTTTCACAGCTCCGTTGGCAACTCTACTTCCCTAATTAACATCCTAATAACCCACCAAGCTATGAGGATGTTACAAAACGTTGAGGTGTCTACACCCTATGTACTCTTTACCAATACACGATGTACCTCAAAACAGAAAAATATTTCCGAGATTAAATTTTGTCCCCTTCACAAAGGATGAATTTACAACATTTCCACTTTGAATGGCAGAGGGATCTTGGCACCCACCATTGTACCATCTTCATTAGTTCTTTGTCAGTTCAAACTTTTCTCTTCTTTCCTCTAATCTGTTTGATCGAGTCATGTTAACAGTAAATGCACCTTGAGGTAACTTTTGATCTAAACTTAATACTGATGTGTATGAAAGCCAACCTTCAAAGTGAGTTTGTCATTTCACATATTTACTAGCACAGTACTTAATGTGAAAGAAATAGAATCGATCATTACAATATGAAAAAGACCTGTTTAGTTCTTCCTTTAGCCATTTTGTTTTTATGATCAGTCTCAAAATATAACATGCACAACGAGGGAACAAGGGGAACCTACATATCAAATTTGAGAAATATCCCTCAAGTTAAACCTTCAATGTCAAAAATCGAAGATGGCTGTCGGTAGGCCATTTTGTTGAACTGATCAGTTTCAAAAGTAAACATGAACAATAAAGGATAGTGGGGAACCTGCATTGGCTGACCCCTAAATTTATTTTGGGGCAAGTAAAAATTTTGAAACACTGGCCCAACTGACATATTGGTGGACCAAATAATTTTGGAAGAAATATTTCCACAGCATTTAACACAATGCTTCAGCACATTTAAATTACATATAACATGACAATGTTTGTAATATGTAAAACCGAATAAAACATTATATTTTTAATTCTTCAACCTTAGTTAAAACCCCGACATGATCCACTCCATTCAGGTCTTCTCAAAAAGAAATACACAAAACTTGCACCTCAAAGAAGACACCCTGGCAGTATTTATATAGAAAATGAAAAAATAAAATCATCCCATTTTCTTAATCACGGACAGTTTGATTCAAATCGAAGTAATGACAACTGAAAAATGTACTGTCCCCCCCCCCCCCCCCCCCCCGTTAATGTGGAAGGGACTATAATTTCTTTTATTCATTAATTTTTCAACAGTAGCTCAAGTTATTTTTGTTGGGCCAGTGACTACCTCACTTTTGACAACTTTTAGTAACTCGAGCAAGACTTTAACCGCCATTGGCGAAAAAACGACCGTCCATTTCAGGCACTGTTGCACAATAAGGGAACAAGGGGAACCTACATATAAAATTTGAAAAAAAAAAACTTTTGAGAAATAGTGAAACAAACTTTCACTATCAAAATCCAAGATGGCTGCCTGTCGGCCATGTTGTTTATTCGATCAGTCTCAAAAGTTGCACTGCACAGCTAAGAACCAAGGGGAACCTACACATAAAATTTGAGAAAGATCCCTATGTTACTTCTTGAGAAATAGCGATAACAAACTTTCACTATCAAAATCCAAGATGGCTGCCTGTTGGCCATGTTGTTTATTCGATCAGTCTCAAAAGTTGCACTGCACAGCTAAGGATCAAGAGGAATCTACAAATAAAATTTGAAAAAGATCCCGCTGGTACTTCTTGAGAAATACAGATAACAAACTTTCCATGGTTCATACAAACTTTTGACCTCAAAATTTAAGGGTTTTTCAAGAAAAGTTTTGAAAATTCAAGGGCTCATTTATATTGCAAAATAAACAATTTTAATGAACAACATGGCCTTGAGGGGCTAGGATTGAAGGAAAGTCATTGGCATCTGTGTTCGGATTTGGATGAGGAACAGTCGAAGTAGGTCTCGATGTACTTGCCGTTGAAGTAGAGGGTTTTGTATAAAAGTGTCAAAGGCCGAGTCAAAGCGGTCCCCGAAATTTTTTAACGTGTTTATGACTTTTCATGTGATGTAAGTGCGTATTCCTTAATCTTACCCATATCGATAATTTTGTAACACAGCAAGCACAAAGCAGAGGTCCTATCACCCTTGAACACCCTCACCCAAAATAATCTGGGATCGTCTAGCCATTTGCGGTTAAAAACACACTTCCCCATCGCAGTTGTTGCATTCGTGTTCCCCTCCTGTTAACAGTACTCTTAATGCGCATGACCATCTGTCACTTTGTCGCTTAGACTATGAGACTTACTCAATTCAAACACAGTGATGATACAAATTGAAATAGTAAAACCAGAAACTTCATCGGTATATATATTTTCCGGAATTATTAAAAATTACGATCTGTAATTTGACGATCAATCTTTGTTAAAAATAACTATTGTTTGCTACGAATGTTTACAAAATACTGAATTAACATGACAGAAACTAACTTCTTTGATTTTCAAGGGTTTTTCAAGGACTCCCATTGATTTTCAAGGGTTTTTCAAGGCTTACAGTCATTTTCAAGGATTTTTCAAGACAGACATTAAATTCAAGGGTTTTTCAAGACCTGTGCGAACCATGCTTTCACTATCAAAATCCAAGATGGCTGCCTGTCGGCCATGTTGTTTATCCGATCAGTCTCAAAATTTGCCCTGCACAGCTAAGGACCAAGGGGAACCTACATTCGTCGTACGTCCTGAGGACGTACGACGGACGCAGGGTGATTTGAATAGCCTACCATCAGATGATGGTGGGCTAAAAATTCAAAGATTGCCCTTTTTTATTTTTCTAAATTGTTTTAGTAATTCAACGTCTTCTGCTTTGGACAAAACAAGGTAGCTATAAGATCCTATGTACATCATTTACATTTATAACATTATATATAATTAGCAGGGTCAATTACATTTCAATAATTTAACAAATTATTTCTTCATACAAGACAATGATCATAACGAATACAAGAGCTATTGTTCTTTTTTTTTTGTAAATTTATATACCCGCAGTTGATATTTTCTTTGAAGCACAATTGCAAAACAAGAAAACAAGCAAATTCGTGGAATTTATATCCTCCGCTTGCAGGACATATTGTAGGTAAACATTAATGGGGTTAGGTTTACACATGTGAGTATCGTGCTATTGAGACATGATGTATAGCTTGAAACTTGAAGAAAAAAAAGCCTTATACAGAAGATATGCACAAATCACATCGGTTGGCAAACTTAGCATGAGTCGTATGTGCATACATTATTTGGTTGAAATATCTGCACAATAACTACAGCAATTATCACACAAAAACCAAGTTATTAACGGAAACCGCAGATAATGATGTTTTTCATTAATCAAGGGGCCATAACTCAGCCAAATGGAGTCTGATTGAGGTGGTTGTCAAGCTTAGCTGGGCCCTTAACGTGTTGAACCCTGTTACCAATTTAGAAGACAATCGAATAATATTTGAGAGAGTAAATGGACAGACACAGCAGATAAAGATGTTTTTCGTTATTCAAGGGGCCATAACTCCGCCAAATAAAGTCTGCTGAAAGTGGTCATCAAACCTGGTTGAGACCTTAAGGCATTTAACCCTGTCAACAAGTTTGAAATTGGTTAACATTTGTTGCAGGCATTTAACCCTGTCAACAAGTTTGAAATTGGTTAACATTTGTTGCAGGCATTTAACCCTGTCAACAAGTTTGAAATTGGTTAACATTTGTTGCAGGCATTTAACCCTGTCAACAAGTTTGAAATTGGTTAACATTTGTTGCAGGCATTTAACCCTGTCAACAAGTTTGAAATTGGTTAACATTTGTTGCAGGCATTTAACCCTGTCAACAAGTTTGAAATTGGTTAACATTTGTTGCAGGCATTTAACCCTGTCAACAAGTTTGAAATTGGTTAACATTTGTTGCAGGCATTTAACCCTGTCAACAAGTTTGAAATTGGTTAACATTTGTTGCAGGCATTTAACCCTGTCAACAAGTTTGAAATTGGTTAACATTTGTTGCAGGCATTTAACCCTGTCAACAAGTTTGAAATTGGTTAACATTTGTTGCAGGCATTTAACCCTGTCAACAAGTTTGAAATTGGTTAACATTTGTTGCAGGCATTTAACCCTGTCAACAAGTTTGAAATTGGTTAACATTTGTTGCAGGCATTTAACCCTGTCAACAAGTTTGAAATTGGTTAACATTTGTTGCAGGCATTTAACCCTGTCAACAAGTTTGAAATTGGTTAACATTTGTTGCAGGCATTTAACCCTGTCAACAAGTTTGAAATTGGTTAACATTTGTTGCAGGCATTTAACCCTGTCAACAAGTTTGAAGAAAATCAGTTAACATTTGTTGCAGTTATTGTACGGAAACGAAGACGGAAGGATGGACAGACGGACAAACCCAAATTAATATTCCCCGTTTCAGTGAAAGCGAGGTATATTAATTGACAAGGCTCACAGTTTCTTACACCACCTGCTTACCGCATGGAGTACCTTAACATATGCCCTTTTCTGACTGGGGCTACCAGATTTTCAGCTTTGGCTAGTGAAAGACTGAAAAGTTGCTGGCATACTAGCCCAAAGTTAGAAGGAAAATCTTTCGTAAACAGGAAAAAGTCTGAACCACATTTGGAATTAGTCCTGGGATATAAGCCCAAAACACAAACTCATACATGTATACATGAACAAGAGGTCCAATGGGCCTGCATCTCTCACCTGGTATAAATCTCACACTTGTAACCTTAAAAGTGATCTTAAATAAAGCTGCAGGCAAAATATCAGTATTTATGATTAAAATTCATTCAAAAGACCCAGTTAATTTTTTTTTAAACATTTCACCCCTGTGATTGAAAGTCGAACAAAGTCATTATGTTGAACAAATTTTATAGCCTTTCATCTCAGGATGCAACTTGCAAAGTATCAACAATCCTGGGACCCATGGTTATTCAGAAGAGGTTGTTAAAAGATTTTAAACAAATTGACCACTGTGACCTTGAATATAAGTCAAAGTCATTCACTTTA